GACAGCGGCCTGCCCCTTCTGACGCACCAGCACCCTCTTCCCCCCTGCAGACAAAGGCAGCAGTCAGGAGAACACTTCCCCCCACAGCATGCACTGGTGTAGCCTCACATCTGTGGAGTTACCCCTGAGCTACGCCGCGGGAACAAGAGGAGAATCGGGATCAACCGAGCCAGTGTGAGAACCCCGGCAACCTCCAGGCTTTCGAATCTCCCTGGGAAATGGGCGGAGCCAAAACCAGCCGTCCCCTCTGTGACGTAGTGGGGGTACCTGGCTGGTTTCTATGCTGCTGGCTCTGGGGTAACCCCCACTGGCTGCCGTGGGTACCACGACCCAGCAAAACAGGATGAGTCACTATGCAAAGGGACCTCTCAACGGATATGGCCAGACAACCCCCATGGAGAGGAACAAAGGAAGGTGGAATGCTGCCCTGGCTGGGGGGCAGGGCTGGAAGAGTGTTGGTTAGTTGCTGTCTGGGAGCATGGAGGAGACAGTCTAGGGAAAGGGGCTGGAGTTTAGGGGCCCAGTCTCCCCCCAACTCAAGGGGGCCTGAGGCATCCTAGCCCAGCTCTGTGACCAGATTACATCTGTGCTGTGCTGTATCCTGGAGAGGCAATAAACTTCCTCTATTCCACCGGCTGGTGCAGTCTGTTTGTGCCATTTCGGGGTGCAGGAGACGGGGGACCCCCAACGCGCCGTCACACCCTCCCCCAGCATCAAAGCTGAAGAAAACGAAATCCACCCTCCAACCATGACACGGAGCCTGCGGAGCTGGAGGCCTGGTACCGGCCTCCGCACCCCTCACTGCTAGGTCAGGGGTCAATGCGGCCAGGCATCAGACGTCAGGATTACCCCCCGACACCCCAAGAAAGGAGCTAGATGAGCCTCAGTTCCGTGGCCGGGAGCTCCCAGCGTCACCACCGGGAGCCTCAGCACAGAGCGCAAGGAACTAATGGGCTGGCACAGTCCCACGGGCAGCGGAGCCGGTTCTGGCAGCCTCCAAGAGGTTTTAACCCGCCCTGTCCATCCATGTTGGTGGCAGTACAATGGGGGGAGGGTTGCGTGTGAGGGTGTGATCTGCCAGCGGGATTCTCAGGAAATAGCGCAGACCCATGGGCGTCCCACCCCCTGGCCAGGTCCCACTCTCTGTGCCGATCCTGGTGCTGCAGAGAGCAGGGCAGAGGACTCCCCGCTGGTGGTGGGGAGAAAGTCCCACTTCCCCTGCTCCATCTGCATCAGCCTCTCACTGCCGCAGGAGCTCTGAGCATCGCGAGGCTGAGCCGGGTGGAGGCCCCGAGCGTCACCCTGCACGGCAGGGCTGGCACATCCCAACCACTGGCTCCGTGGGGGAGCTGAGCTCCGGGGAGATGGCTTTGGGCAGCCAGGGTTACCTTCCAAGCTGGACAGCAGGGCTTTTGCTTCAGAGACCACGGCCTTCCCATGCGAAACAGACGAGGCTGCCCAAGCCCGGGCCCCATCAGCCCCTTTCCACAGCTGCAGGGGAAGAGGCAGAAGAAATCTAGGAGCATCGTATGGGTGTGGGGCAGGGGAAGGGGGTGGAGAGCCCTCCTGCTGATCAGACGATGTTTGTGGTGGGTTTTCTATAGGGGAGAGAGCAGGGGCCAAGATGCGCCCTGGGCTGACTCCGGGGTCCCAGCACTGGCCTCTGAACCTGAGAACACTACGGGGTCAGGGAAGGAACTACCCCCAGCCTCACGCAAGCCGGCTCAACTCCTGCCCTGGCTTGCCCCAGGGGTTTCTGGGTGTGACGCAGTGGGGGGGCTGTCTGCTCTGTCACCCGGGGTTCCCCTGCGCTGTGATGTGAAATTCACACTGACTCCCACCCGGGGTTCCCCTGCGCTGTGATGTGAGATTCACACTGACTCCCCCACACGTGGATTGGTCCAGACACCTAGTCCCAACCTAAGCAGATAACCAGGCTCTTCCCGGGGGAGAGACAAAGGGAGGGAGGCAGAGGCGACCACCTGGCTGGGGGGCAGGGCCTGGGAGCTGGGCAGTTTTTTGGCTGGGATGACATGAAGAGAGGAGACTTAGCTGAGTACTGAGAGGTCAGGGGTCTAAGGACCCCTACCCCAAGGGGTCTAAGGCTGCCTGGCCGACTCCTGTAACCGCAGCACGTCTATGCTGTGCTGTATCCTGGAGAAGCAATAAGCCCTCTCTATTCTACTGGCTGGTGTGGGGGGTGAGGATTGGGGGGTCCCCACCCCCCCGCCACACTGGGGTGGGGGGTTTAGAAGGGTCGGCCCTTCCTGCCCTTGTTCCTCCTTCCCTGAGCAGGTGCAGCTGCTGCGGATGGTCCCCTCTGGCTGGCGGAGGAGGGGCACCCGGGGGGCTAGGGAGGTCAGGCTCATCCAGTTCCCTGCAGCCAGAAGGACCCAGCAGAAGGCAAGGCCTAGAGAGGTGTAGGGTGTTGGGGAGGGGAGGGTAAGGGCAGAGGTCCTGCTGGGATGCAGCCGATTCCATCCCCTGGGAAGGAGGGAGAATTTCACTCTCCTCCCCCTCCTGTCTGCAG